TAGATCTGATAAAATGTTCATATTTGCAATTTTGGGTATATGGGTGTTACATTATTCTTTTCTCCTTTTTCCAGATTTACATAAAGAGTAAGTGAATCACTATGATGTAAATTTGCTGACACATTCTTTTTTTGTAAAATATTCAAAATTTTCTCATAACTTCCTTAGGAACAGCAAGCCATGGCAGATATTCATGAGAGAACTAAGACTCAAGGTCTTGCAGGGCGCCTATGTTTGAGAATTTCTGAATCTTCTAATTGGTCCCTCAGTGGTATGCCATTACTTGGATATCTTGTTCCATCTTAACAGGCTTATTGGATCTTTCTAGGGCAGAGTAACTGGAGCGTTAAGTGACTTTGAGGAAGGCTCTTGTACGTGAAGGAAATCTTATAGTGTAGATTACAACAGGCTTCCATTAAAAGCCTCTCCCATTTTATTGGGTGAAGAGGAGGTTAAAGGGTGGTACTCATTCCCCGTTGTAGGAAATTGGGTCAATTTATGATATAGTGGCAAAGGGATAATTTCTCATGACTCATTACTCTGGTCATTGGTTTCCCGAAGTATTTTCTCAAGATCACTAACTTGGTGGAAAGCCCTCAGAGACTGAAACAAAAACCAAACCAAACCAAAAACCCTACTTCCATAGTCAAATACATTTAGGAAATTTTAGCTTAAGCAAGTATAAACAGCTTTCTTTATCTTATCCAAGAAGAGATAGAGTAGGATTCTTTTCCAAATTTATTTGTGTTTTAGAAGTGTATTTGATCACCGTAGTATCTTTTCACTGTTTTGAGAAACACACTCTAACAAGATTATCTCTGATTTCTGAAATTCTTGGGTAGCCACAGAGCAAGCTGATCTTTCTCAAAGTCATGCTGATAAATACAGGCAAGCTCTCTTTACCTACCAATTCATTGGCTTTCAAAGGTTGCACTGTTATCTCCAATTTCTCACTCGCCGTTTCTGGATGCTAGAACAGAAAAGAACTGCTTCCTATTTCTTTCTTCTCCCTCTTTCTTGAAAAAATCAGAGACAGATTATATAACCTTGGCCTTCCCCTGAGTACATTGCTGAGGATATTCAAAAGCATTCCTCAGTAACTTGTGAGTGGCTTTGCAGAAGCATCTCAGGTTTTACATAAACAAGAGGTTCCTTACTCTTTCTATAAATCAACTGTTTTCTTGCTGATTTACATGACAATTTCAGATGGTTGTCAATTTGTACCTGTGCCTAACAAATTAGTCTTAAACTTCATTGCCTTCTCCTCACTCTTCCCTGATCTTCTCTGCCATATACTTAATGATGTATAAACAAACACTTAAAAAATTTTGAAAGGCAACCCAGTAGGAAATTTAGGAATCTTTTTATAAGCTCAAGAGTCCTTTCCAAATGTGATTCCTTAATAGAACTGACTAGAAAGTCCAGAAATAAACCCAAATACAGAGAGGAATTAAGTATATGCAAAAAGTGACATTTAAATCCATGGGGAAGGGATAGTTGAATAAACAGTGTTAAGACAACTAGGTAGAAATCCAGAAAAATAGTAAAGTTAAATCTAGGGGCGCCTGGGTGGCTCAGTCGTTAAGACTTTGTCTTAACCCTACGTCTGCCTTCAGCTCAGGTCATGGTCCCAGGGTCCTGGGATAGAGCCCCACATTGGGCTCTCTGCTCGGCGGGAAGCCTGCTTCTCCCCCTCCCACTCCCCCCTGTTTGTGTTCCCTCTCTCACTGGGTCTCTCTCTGTCAAATAAATAAATAAAATCTTAAAAAAATAAAATAAAGTTAAATCTACAACTCACACCTGACCCAAACCAAATTCCAGATGGCAAGGAATTTTAACTTGAAAAATTAAACCATGAAAAAAAAGAACATTCTTGTGGCCTGTTTATTTGAGCTGACATAATCCACACTAAGCAATGTCTTTGTAAGTGACAGGTCACAATGAAATTGTGGAAACTTTGGTAGGAAGGATCCAACTCTTTCACTGGGGCTGGAAAATGGTTTGGTTAGACAGAAGAGGGGAAAACTGAAGCTTGATATTTACATTTTGTGATGACCATAAGGAGCTATTATGTTAATTATGTAATCGAGGGTGGCATATTTGGGGATAGTAGGAGTGCTGATGGAAACTAAAGGGAGAGATATTTGGGTATATGAAGTGGGACTAGATCATAGAGGACTCTGATTGCCCAGTTGAAGAGTTTACCCTTGGTTCTCTTTTAATTGGGGAACCTCTGGGAATTTATGAGCTAGTATGTAGGTTTTCTTAACCTTTATTGACATTTTTGGCCAGATAATTCTTTGTCATGGGAAGCTAGTCCTGAGTATGACAGGATGCTTAGCAGCATCTCTGGCCTCTACCTACTAGATGTTAGTAGCATCTTCCCCTTTACAAATTGTGACAACCAAAAGTGTCTCCAAACATTGCCAAATGTCTCCTGGGTAACAAAATTATCACAGATTGAGAACAGCTGAGCTCTAGGATGACAGAATAATTGGTGTTTGAGAAGGACTGTCCAGTTGTGGTTGTGTAGAATGAACAGAAGGTCGGCAGGACAGGAACCTGACAGAATGTCTTAGAGACTAGCCCAGTACCCTAGGTATGGTATATTGTTACAGTAAGGGCCTCTAATAAAGTACATCTCCTTGTATCTGTGACCTTGTATAGTCCTCTCTCACACTGATGTAGGGCTTGGCCATGTTGACTTGCCGTGATCAATGGAACATCAGTAACCGTGACATAAGCTGAGGCTTGAAAAGCATTTGTGCATTGGGACTTAGCCTCTTGGACACTGCCCCCATGTAACAAAGCCTATGATAGCCTCCTGAAGACACATGGTCCAACTAACAGCCAACACCAACTTCCAGATGTGAGTGAGGCCCTCTAATGCCATGCAGCTACAGTGGAACCACCATGACTGCATGATCTTAGGCAAGAAAAACTACCTAGGGAAACCATATATCCAAGTGCATGTTACCTGATCCCGCCCAAGTTAATGACAATGAAATTATGAACAAATGAAATGGTTGCTGTTTTAAATCACTAAGTGATTGTCGTATTGTCATGCAGTGGTAGATAACTTATAGTAGGTCTGGAGTAGATCATTATCACTGCAAATGAAAACGTGTGTACACAAGACATTTGCAAGAATCCTTATTTCTTGATGACTTTTCAGTGAAGGGACTCAGTGAAAGGGCAAAGCGGGTCAAAAAATACAAGAACTTAGAAACTGAGTGCAGAGGTCAGAGTGAATTCAGGAATGAAGTTGCATGAGCAGTCTTCAAGAAAACACTTCTGTCTAAGCAGTTAAAAATATTAACTCAGCTATTTTGAAAACTACAGATACTTAGTAATTGCTAACAGTATAATGATAATAATACTTCAAAGGTTCAGTTTAACAAGGATATTTCTAAAGCTTTAAGGGCATTACCAAGCTAGCCACCTCTTCCTTTATATGGAAAAATCAATCTTTAGAATAAACAGGAAAGCACATAAACTCAAAATCAATAACAATTTATATTGCACTAATGATAAAATTCATTTCATCATGAATGTCCACTTGTATGGAACTATATTCACTTAGCAATTAGATTGCTAAGACCAGGGCCTCGAATGGAATGTCTCTCATAATTTACCAGTTAAATTTACAGATGGTGATTATCAGTGGTATTTACGGCTTGATAGATGCTGAGCGTTGACCCTGTTTATTGTACTATTCAAGAATTAACAGTTCCTCAGATGGTTAGCACTTAGCCTTATGTTTAAGAACACCAGCCTGGAGGGATGTCTGTCAAATCCCCTACTTTATTTTAATCATAATAAAAAAAATCAAAGTAATAAGCAATAAAGAAAATCCAGAATGAGATAAAAATGGAAATACAGAGTCATAACTAAAAGAAATGGCAGTAAATAAAAGAAAGTCTAAAGCGTGGAGGGAATGGATAATGTAAATAAAGTAAAAACAACCCAAATGCATTTTCACAGGCTGTTAGAATCACCGAAGAGAACATATGTATAAGTCATATGACAGAGTGAGGGTCTCTTGGAAACAGGGTAAGATTTAAAAAAAAAAAAATCAAAATGGTTGAATTTTTAAGATCTTGTACCCATTAAGCAGTCAGTATTAAAGAAACAATAGCCCTGCTGAAATAAGTGTTTAAAATCAAAGGGTAACATGCACTTGGATATATGGTTTCCCTAAGATTTATCTAAAAAAAAAAAAAAAAGTCTTTAGTCTTTAACTGTCGCTGCCTGCCAAAGCATTTTGGTTGTTAATTCTTTCTCAGGTGGTGGAGACAAGGACTGAGAAAAATTATTTGGATGCGGGGATCTGGAAGATCTATGTGATTTCTAATGTGTATTAACCGGTTGGAACTTAATGCTGGAAGGGCATGGATTAAGGAAAGCCAGTAAAATCAGAAAATGGGGTGTTCTGGTAAATCTTGTAGTTTAGTTTGTAAGAAAACTTGTATATGCGGACGTTTACTCATGTTCCGGAATTACAAGAGACTAAAATACACATAACGTTAACCAGTTTGGAATCGTACCCCTATCTTCCTTTTCTTTTTGTCCAGTTAGCTTTGCACACTCCTGCTAGCTCTTGGCTTTACCCGAGCAAACTGTTTACTTCGCAGGGCCTGGTAACACTAACGCTGCAGCCCCGCTTCTGGCCGGGTATCCCAAGTCCAAGAGGCCCCAACCCAGGCTCAGCCGGCTGGAACCTGGCACAGGAGGGACAGCGGGCTTCGGAAGCGCGGAAAGCCGCGCCACGCGCCCCTCCTACCTGGCTGGGCGGAGCCGGGCCCGCCCGGACAGCGTGAGGGCAGCCCCGCCGGGCGCTCGGTCCCGGGTGGGCGCTCAGAGCCGGACTCCCGGGCCCGGCGGGGGCCGCGCGCCGGACCAGCGTCGGAGCGCCCCGCCCCCGGCGGGCGCCCCGCCCCGCCCGGACATTCCTGCAAGTGGCCGAACCCGCCGGACGAGGCCAACTCGTCGCGGCTCCCGGCGGCAGCAGGTGGCCCCGGACTTCCCGCCGTCGCCGCTGCCCCGGCGGGCCGCGCGCGCCGTCGCGCTCCAGAGCCGTCCGGGCTAGGCTCGCCGGACAGGATGGAGGCGGACGGGGACCGGGAGGAGCTGTCCCACCTGCGCGCGGTCTTCGCCGCCTGCGACGCGAACCGCTCGGGGCGCCTGGAGCGCGAGGAGTTCGGCGCGCTGTGCGCGGAGCTGCGCGTGCGGCCGGCCGACGCCGAGGCCGTGTTCCAGCGGCTAGACGCTGACCGCGACGGTGCCATCACCTTCCAGGAGTTTGCGCGCGGCTTCAGTGGGTTCCGCCGCGGGGGGCGGTGCCGAGGCTGGGCTCCCCGGGACCCCGCGCCCGCCTCGGCCCAGGCGGGGCCCGACTCCGAGGACAGCGAAGAGGACGAGGGCGACGGGGACGCGCTGGCAGCCCCCTGGGGTCGGGCGAGTCCCGGCCAGGCTTGGCAGGACTTCCAGGCGCGACTTGGAGACGAGGCCAAATTCATCCCCAGGTGCGTGTGTGGGTTGGAGGGCGGGAGGTGAGGATGGGGTTATCTGCCCTCCCCGGTGCGCTGCCATCTCCCTCTTAACCCGCGGAGTGGGCAGACCCACTGGACCCTACTTTTCTTTGTGAGTTGCTTTTCTCCGTCCACGGACTCTATTCCAAGAGGAGATCCCCTAGAGTTGAAGAAAGGGAGTGCGTTCAGAGTCAGGGTTTGGGGAGAAAGTTTCACTTGCTCATTTCTGAGCCCTGCAAAGGTCACTTTGTTAATTACCTGGGCCACAGTGAAATCCGCAGCGTCCAGAGTTGGTTCCCAGACAAGAGTTTAGGAGCGCTCCCCATATCTCATCGCACCTTCTCCCAAGGCCCCCTGGCTGCACCCCGGAGCTACGAGTGACCGATTGCCAAACTGGCGTCCTTCATATGTAGTAGTTCTTGTATTTGTTGTTTTCCTACAACACAGAAGACAAAACATGTTGGGCATTTATATTGCTGGACTTATGTATTCATTGATGCCTACCTACTACGTACTAGGCATTTTACAGAGTTCGTTCATTTAATTTTTGCAACAGCCCTGGGAGGTGGATTTTCTTCTCTGATTGATGGAGAAACTTAGACCCAGAAATTTAGACCTTTAAGACATTAAGGAACTTGACTGGTTAATGAAAGAGCAGGGATTTGATGCCATATGTTGTTGAACTGAAAAACTTGCTTTTTATACAATGGAATAAAATAAAATTATACAATAAATTCTCTACTCTCTGGCTCAGACAGAAATGATACCAAGTTACTAAGTTAATTCTCAGGGGGAAAGGGAATGCCCGCAGGGGCAGAGCACGGAGAGAAAGATGCTCAGGTTTTATTCAAGAGTAATCTGCATCTGTCCTCGCCTTCCTGTCATGGTATGTCTTGAACTGCTATTTTCACTTCTTCCTCAGGCACTCCAAAATGTTAATGCTATAAAATGTATTTCTGCTCTTGGTTTGGATTATGATTGAAAGCCTATGGAGCTCTGGCTGTCATTATTAAGAACTGAAAGGTATCATTTTGGCTGGCAGCTTGCATATCTTAGTCATAAGACTCAGAAAAGCAAATAGCCCTAGAGGGTGAGTGGTCTTGCACACCCATTCACAGCTTGAACCCGCTGGCCTGGGAGTCCCACTTCCTCCTCTGCCCAGCTCCTCCCTCCAGTTGAGAGAGTAAGGCATGGAGAGTGACTCACTGCAAGTATGAGGCGGATGGTGTAGAGAAAGTGGGTGTGATACCCATCTTTTCTATTATTTACAAATGAGTTAAAATACAACGTCTCTACCAGGGAAGTAGAAAAATGTAAGCATCGCTATAAACTATACTCTTGGAATTATCTTTTATCTCTAACTTGGTTTGGGTCCAGCTAATTATAAAAGGTAACAATTTTAAGAGTCAGGAAAGGTGAACCCACACCATGGTTTACACCCACACCCACACACAGATCTACTTTTCACAGTTGTCAAGTCTCAGCAACAAATATTTGACACTTAACCTTGAAATGATTAGGATGGTCTTCTTAGTATCAGTATAGAAACCAGGATTTAATGTTACTGGTGATACTGTTATTATCATGATGCCTTTCCAAACTCTTCAAAGTTTATTAAATTTAATGGGCACCAGTGTCACCTGGTAGACTTGTGTTTTAAGTCACACCCCCTTGTGATTGGAGATTAACAAGTACAATATTTGCCTTCCTGTGCTTGTTCAAGTGGAAAAGAACTAAACTGAGTTGCTTCATCTGATTGTTACCATGGCAGCCGGTAACTGTTTTTGGTAAATTCGATTGCTTCTATTCCACTTCCTCATACAGCTGTTCACCTTCCCTTCCTCTCATCCAAATGTGGTAAAAAATCTTTTGTCATCGATAAGGCCGTTGGCATTATTTCAGTCAAATTAGTTCTATAGACGTTATTGAGTGCTTATTTTGTGCCAGATGCTGTTGTAGGTCCTCCCCTAGGTCCCTGGGGACAAAGAGAAGGCTGAGATGTAGTTCATGCCCTCAGGAAGTTTATAGTGTGGGTGAACCATTTCTCAAAAATTTCATCAAAGAACATTTAAAGGCAAGAGGGTTATTTGCAAGAAATTCCATATAGAGTGGACATAGCCCAACAGACTACTGCAACCAGGAGCTGTCTTTGGTCATATATTTGTTCCTTTTACTCCATGATATATCGGGGCTTATTTTAATATAAAACATTATACTTTTCCTCCAGTGGGAAAATTGTTTCTCTAGGAAAGTGTGCCATTTCATCTGGTGGCTTTGTTACTCATTTGACACACCATCTTAACCCTGGTGGCTTCTTGTCCCATGCTTATGTAGGGGGTTTTCATGTTCAGGTTGAGAAGATCAGGTATCAGATATAAGAATGTTTGGCTCCTGATCCCAGGGTCCTGGGATCGAGACCTGCACCAGGCTCCCTGCTCTGTGGAAAGCCTTCTTATCCCCCCCCCCCCAACCCCCCTGCTTGTGTTCCCTCTTTTTTTTTTTTTTTTAAAGATTTTATTTATTTATTTGAGAGAGAGAGACTGAGAGAGAGAGAGCATGAGAGGGGGGAGGGTCGGGAGGGTCAGAGGGAGAAGCAGACTCCCTGCCGAGCAGGGAGCCCGATGCGGGACTCGATCCCGGGACTCCAGGATCATGACCTGAGCCGAAGGCAGTTGCTTAACCAACTGAGCCACCCAGGCGCCCATGCTTGTGTTCCCTCTTTCACTGTGTCTCTCTCTGTCAAATAAATAAATAAAATCTTAAAAAAAAAAAAAAAGAATGTTTGGCTTCTATAAGGCAAAATGTGGTGGTGTTGACAGAATTTCCATTTGTAAGACCATTCAAGCTCCTGGTATAAAAATATTAAGCAAGTTTGGGTTAAACCCCCAGTCACCAATATTGTGATCTTAGAGAAGAAATAAGGTTGCACCGTGAAAGGATGAAAATGGTCTCTGGGATGTGTGTCAGCTCACTCTCAAGTTGGTTTTTTCTTGGAAGATTGAAAGACTCCTTCTCCTAAAGGGGAATGTCCCCAGTAGTCAAGTGACCTGTTAGCCTGTGCTGGGCAGGTGAAAATCATCTACAGGGTCAGGATGGCCATCACCACTTCCCAGTGAACTGGAATTAGGTCAGCCAACAGGTGAAACCAGAATGGGCAAGGTGATGTGGTTCTAGAAGAGAATTCAGGAAGGAAGATTGTACAGGGCCAAGAACACTCCATGAAATAGGGAGAAAATGTTGGGTGAGAGATAGAGAACAGACTTGTAATAACGTAGTCGGGCCAATTTCTTGTGCCAGGGGTGTTATGAGAGAGAGTTTTGTACCTAGTAGGTACTTAATAAACGTGCTCAGTAAATGTTTGCAAAATGAACAGAATAAACTGGTGTTCTTTCATTCCTTGATTCATATACTGAGAATGCAGTTGATGTCATGTGCATTTTCTTTTTGTTTTGTTGATACTCTCTCTTTCTCTCTCTTTTTTTAATGTTCTGGTGTGAGCTGGTCATGGTGTTCCAAGATTGACAAGGAGAGGGAAACAGGGTGTATGTGTGTGTGTGTGTGTGTGTGAACATTTGACCAGGGGTAGTGGGATGGCAGAACTCTCTCCTCTAGATGGACCTGAAGCTTTTCAGTTTTCTCAGCTCCATTTGTTGCAATTTTAAGTGTTATTTGTGAATTGATTTCACTTTGATAAATCAACTTAGAACCGCATGTTTTCACAGACAGAAACGTGAGGATCCAGCTGATACCAGCACCGCAGTGGATTTGTGCGTGGGTATGGGTACTGCCACAGTGGCCAGATCAGGGACCGAGCCAGGGTGGTGCTTGTAATGTAATAGGCCTTAGTGTGATTGGTGACCTGCCAGGCAGGGCTAGGCTGCCATTGTTGTTCAGACACCGAAATCCATCCCGTGTGGTCAGCTGTTTCTCATAGTTTCTGATCTTCCTACATACACACTGTTGAAGGGGAGGCTTTTATTTTGATCATTTAGAAACCATAAGTTTAATTGAGAAGAACCCAAACTACCGACTTGTGAGCTGTATATGGTTTGTCAAAAACAGAGTTCTTTAGCATATCCGTATAACTGTAGCGATGATTAGGAAAATCAAGAGAAAGAGATCAATGGCTGAACACCAATCCTACTTAAGGAGGACATTTTTAAAACATGTACCTACAAGTAGGCAGAAGGATAGTTTCCACACTGGTCAGGGTTTGTTTTACATTTCCCCTTCTTGGGTTCCACGTTAGCCCTTTCCAGTCTGATCGCCTTCTTTCCTAATAACGTGGTTGCTTCACGCACCCCCTTCTCTTCCATAATGTGCTTCATAAGATGGGAGGGCAGAGAGTAGATGGAGGCAAAGAAACATAAACTCAGAGAGAGGGCTGGAGACAGGGAGCAGGAGAGGGGGACAGGTGAGGGGAAGGGAAAGACAGAGATCAACAGACAGATGGACAGATAGGATAGTGCCTCAGTTTCCCCTCTCTTTCCACCGAACGAGTTCATGGCCATGAGCCACCTTGAGATGGGAGAGGCAAATCAGCTCTTGCTCTATTTGATTTTAGCTCTTCAAAATCCTCAGAATGTGATCATCTTGGTGCTTTGGATGGTGTTTGTAGTATTTGAAGATACGTTTTTCACTCACGTGGTCAGGAATATTATCTGGTGTTCATCCAAGGAGATGAAGACTTATTCCAGCCTTGAGGCGTGACAGTGGGTTGGACCCCAGTCCTGGAAGAGATTAAGGGTGTTTTTGCCATTTTTGATTAAGGGTGGTATTTACTTCTGGCCCTGGCTTTGGGATCTATCAGTGTTCTGACCACAGTCTTTGCAGAATTCTCTGCTTTTTCTGGGTTCAGAAGTGGAGTCTTTATAGATATTTATTTTCTAAGTGTTGTTGGTCTGTTGCTTTTCCTTTTTTCCTCTTTAGTATACTCTCTATTGTAATTCTGTGTGTTATTACCCTGCTGCTAAATGGGAGAAACCTGTCTGTTG